CACATCTGCAATCAGTTAGGGGTGGGTTCAGAAGAAAGCTAATTTAATAAACCTTGCTCCTTATTAATTCCTTTTTTATTTCCCAAAGTAACTGAATCTTTTATTAGTTCAAGTTTTGTAAAATATCAGACTTTTATTTATTTTAAGTTTTTGCCTTCTGTTTCTCAAACTCTAACACACAGGCCAGCTCCATGTTCGTGTTGTCAGGATAGTAATTTAATTCACCTGCCATGATCCCAGGTGTCAATGAGCTGCTGATTTAGATGGGTGGATTGTGACCTTGGGATTGCTTGAAGTTAAACATTATTTGCACACATTAATTTTGTGACATTGTTGTCTGCTAAAAAAAAATATTTTAATAAAAAGAATGAACTGTAACCACCTAGAGTCTCCATCAAGTAGTTTTTGACCTCAGTTGTGGTAATAAAATGGGTTAATCCTGATTACATCTGCAGCAGTGAGACTTTCTGTTGTCTCTGCAGGCGGATGAGAGGCGAGCCCCCCTCAGATCATGGTATGCCTGTGGGACGATAGATCGCTGGCAGCCTGTAGAAGTAGAGGAGTCCAGGATGGTTCCAGTCAAAATGGAGCCAGATCGCAGATGGGTACGCCTTCTTTCCTGCTCGTAATCGTCACCCAACACATACCAGAGTGTCTTATCTTAGCTTGAGCTAGTATAAACAACTTTTCCAGCCAATAAGTATAGATGATTTGTTAGAGGGAAGTCCAGATATGAAGGACCTGCCCTTTGTTGTAATAGAAAGGTTTGTATAGTTTTGATCTCCAAATATGAAATGTTTCATTCACTGTACATTTATTTCAGCAACTCAGCTAAGATTTTCAAGTTTTTTTGTTTGTTTTTTGTTTGCTATGATCCTAAAAATTCCACTTCCAAGTGCATGTGCTTAAAGGGGTTGTCTGTTTGCAGGAGAGGAGGTTATCAGCACAAACAAACGAAAGCATCATCATGGGGTTCAATGAAGACAGTTTAACAGACACAACTGGTAATGTAATCAATGTAACAATTATTTCCACTCTAAAGTCTCAAATGGATGCACTTAATGTGAGGATTGACTTGGTGCCTGCATCAGAATGACAGTAGTTGTTAAGTGAGGGATTTTGGTGCACAGGTGGTTACTTTATGACATTGTAGAAAATGAGTGAAAAAGTATTTACTTGCCTAATGTTACTCCTACTTGTCCTTGTTTCCATCCTGTGTAGCAGATGGGTGTGTGGAGGAGAGTATGTTTCTTTACCCTCAGCTGCAGGGTTTTCACAGCCTACAGGCACTGGTGCCCAGCTTGCTGCGCCATGAAGTGGAGACGGCACTAGAGAAGCTTGATCTCATATGGGACAGGACATTTGCCTGGGATATGTTCTTGGACATGATGGTGAGATGACATAAATCATCCACTGGCTTTCTTTTATGTTTTAAAATGTTCTAGGAAAGGTTTTCTATGCAGACCTCGCCACTAAATGTTTACAAGATTGGCAGAAAATCGTACCACACAATATCTGGTTAAATATTCAGTGTGTGCCTCCTGTTTTCTGTTTTCACCCTGCAGAGAACTCAAGCAATAAACACTCTTCCCAACGCCGATCTGCCCCGGCATTTTACTGACTCCACTCGCTCTGTCCTGGTAGACTGGCTCATTCAAGTGCATGTAAGTCTCGCTGTTGATTAAAGGTATCTTTTTCCTCGAAACAAAGCAAGTCTTCAGTTTTTTATTCTTATGTGTTTGTTAAAAACTGGTCAAATGCTCCCAAAGAGATGACTGTATTTGTCTTAGGTGTCATGGTAAAACGCTGGATTCCAACATGCATATCATGTGGGGTACTTGTATGGACAGCGTAAAACGATTTAACAAATGGTTGTATAACATATTAACATAAAGTGAATGGTAGGTACGGTACTGATGGACTAATCCAACAGAAACCAGTGTATTTGTATAATTGTACCCTGTCACAAATGAAATCACTACAATGTGGAATTCCCCAGGGCAGCTGTCTTGGACCTCTCTAATTTCCCATATTTACAAAAAATGTGTATTAAGAAATGTAACAAATTTTGAAACAAGACTGATTAATTTTATTTGTATTTTACCTCAATGTCCAGGTTGAGGGGAAAACTTAATATACTACATCACATTTGTTTGGTCTGTATCTTATGGTTTACAGGAGATGATGCATTTTCAAGAGGAGACCCTCTATCTGGCCATAAACCTCCTCAACCGCTCCTTGCGTGTGATCAAAGTGACCACAGTCAACCTGCAGCTCCTCGGCATGGTTTGCGTTTTCCTCGCTGCAAAGAAGGAAGAGTGTCTCCTCCCTGAGGTAAGCTGGCTCAGCCCACCCTTATTTAATATGGTATTTGTTTTACTTTACACACAAGCTTGTAGTTTTAAAGGTCCCATGACATGCTTTTCCGGTTTTTACCCGTCCCCCACAAACTCTCAAAGTACAGCCTGTAGCGAGTAAAACTAACACAGAAAAGACCTGTCTATGCTGCCCCAGAACGCCTCGTTGGAGATTTTTCTTTTTACATTTTTTTTCTTCCTGGTCATAGTGACGTAACACACACACACACTCAATCAGCCTTATCTTTTCTCAGCCGCGGTGCTCCGGAGCTTTGCCGGTACACACTCACTCTGCTCCATTCGCAGCATTCTCATCTGTTTGTCATTTTCTGGTTGCTAACAAACGCCATTATAACACATACACACTGATGTTCCGCTGCAACGGTGGTGGACTCATCAGAACAGAGTGGACGAGCTGACCAATCAGAATACAGTGGGCTCATAGAGAGGGGGGGTCAGGAGCTCAAACAAGCAGTTTAGGACAGAGTGAATACACATACTATACAGAGATGCTGTATGAGAAACCAATGTGAGTTTGGAAAATTGAACAATGTAAATCCATTCTAGTAGACCTCAAGGAGGAGGCATTTAGGAGTGGCAATAAGGCACGTTTTAGAGAGTCGAAGTACGTCTTTAGCAAGGCGGTGAGAGATGCTAAACGACAATACTCTAAGAAACACCAGCTCTCGGCAAACGATTCCGCTTCTGTCCGGCGTGGTCTAGATCACAAACTTCAAGCCAAAAGCCTCACACTCCATGAACGACCAATGCCTTGCAAACGATCCGAATCAGTTCTACTGCAGATTTGAAGACAAAGAGTTCAGTCCTGAAACCATCCCCCCACCTCCACGTCCCCCTCCCCTTCAGTGTCTCACTCTCCCACACCACTGACCTCCCCGACACATCAAATTCTCTCAACAATGAAAGGGATGTAAACAGAGTTTTTAGAAAACTCAATAGCAGAAAAGCGGCTGGCCCTGACAATGTCTCCCCCTCCACCCTGAAGCCCTGATCAGCTGTCTCCGGTGTTTACAGACATCTTCAACACCTCACATGCCACGTTCCAGCATGCTTCAAAACCTCCACCATCATCCCGATTCCCAAGAAAACAAGGATCACAGGATTAAATGACTACAGACCCGTCGCCCTGACCTCTGTGGTTATGAAGTCCTTTGGGCGCCTTGTCCTGTCCCACATAAAATCCATCACAGACCCCCTCCTGGACCCCCTGCAGTTCGTCTACAGAGCCAACAGGTCTGTGGACGACGCTGTCAACATGGCCCTTCACTTCCTCCTCCAGCACCTGGACACAGCAGGAACCTATGCCAGGATCCTGTTTGTGGTCTTCAGCTCTGCCTTCAACACCATCATCCCGGCTCTGCTGCAGGACAAGCTCTCCCAGCTGCACGTGCCGACTCCACCTGCAGGTGGATCACAGACTTCCTGTCTGACAGGAAGCAGCTCGGGAAACAGGTCTCTGCCCCCTGGACCATCAGCACCGGTTCCCCTCAAGGCTGCGTTCTTTCCCCTCTGCTCTTCTCCCTGTACACCAACAGCTGCACCTCCAGTCACCAGTCTGTCAAGCTACTGAAGTTCACAGACGACACCCTCATCGGACTCATCTCTGGTGGGGACGAGTCTGCCTACAGGTGGGAGATGGACCATCTTGTGACCTGGTGTGGGGACAACCACCTGGAGCTCAACGCTCTCAAGACAGTGGAGATGGTTGTGGACTTTTGGAAGAATGCTGCCCCACCCGCCCCCCATCACTCTGTGTGACTCCCCAGTAACTGCTGTGGAGGCTTTCCGCTTCCTGGGCACCATCATCGCCCAGGACCTCAAATGGGAGCAGAACATCTGCTCCCTCATCAAAAAAGCACAGCCGAGGATGTTCTTCCTAAGGCAGCTGAATAAATTCCACCTGCCAAAGACAATGATGGTGAACTTCTACACCTCCATCATCGAGTCCATCCTCACCTCCTCCATCACCATATGGTACGCTGCAGCCACAGCAAAGGATAAGGCCAGGCTGCAGCGTGTCATCCGCTCTGCAGAGAAGGTGATCGGCTGCCATCCCTCCACGACCTGAGGCGTGCAGGGAAGATAGTGGCCGACCCCTCCCACCCTGGACACAAACTGTTCACCCCCCTCCCCTCTGGCAGGAGGCTTCGCTCCATCAGGATCAAAACCTCTCGCCACCTGAACAGTTTCTTCCCCTCCGCTACCGGCCGCTTAAACAAGGCTCGGCCCCCCCACTGACACAATGTAGACTCTATATGCATTACATTAATGCACACAATGTTCAGATATATATTTGATATTCACATATTTCTTATTTTATATTCTATAATTCAGTGCATTGTATTTTGCTGTAAATTACTGCTTTATTTTATTGCTATCTAACTATATTTTATTAGTGTCCTTAAAGATTTTTTGTTTTATATTAGATTGGTTGTTTTATATGGAGAGTTTTTGTTTTATATTGTATGTATGCACCATGAGATCAAGTGAAATTCCTCGTATGTGTGAACCTACCTGGCAATAAACCCGTTTCTGATTCTGAACAATGGATTTATGATCAGTAGAAATGGCAATGCCATGGGACCTTTTAATACGCGAAGAGGGACAATTGAGATATTAATCAAACTGTTTTTTTAAAATGTAATCGACAACAGTTTTCCAATTCCCTAATCACTTTAGTCATTCTTGTTTTTATCTTAAATTAATGTGAAACATTTCCCGCTTTTTTTTCCAGGTATCAGGACTCTGCTACTTGATGGACCACACCTACACGAAGCATCAGCTGCTGCGAATGGAACGCAAAGTCCTCTTAGCGCTCAAATTCGATTTGTCCTACTGTCCCCCTCTACATTTCCTCCTCGTCCTCGCCTCCATTGCTCGCTGCAGTGCTAAGGTAGGTCCATCCTGGTCCTCTTTTCTGTCAATGTATTTCCTATTAAGTAGAGATCTGAACAGAAGTGTTGCCTGTACCACCAGGTTGTGTGGATGGCTCGCTATCTTCTGGAGCTGTCTCTCCTGGAGAGCCAGTGTGTGGTGTTTCTGCCCTTGCAGTTGGCAGGATCTGTCCTCTGCTTGTCCCGGCAAATTCTTCAGGAACCCCTGACACCAGAAGGAGAGGCTGCTTGGTGTCTGGCCTCCAGTGTGCATGTCGGCAGGTGTGTGTTTTTGACTGATAAGATGCATTTATCTCATCCACAGTGCCCTAAGAGAGCCTTTCCCCCGGGCATCCTCAGCTTTTAAGTAATGGATCCCTGGCTTCTCCATGTTCCTAACTTCACAGATGCAAAATATTCCGTCCACATGTTGTGTATAAGTCAGCATCCATCCTATCTGTCAATATTTAAATCTATTCTTTTGTTTTTTCTCAGTGAGACGGCCCTGCTGAGGATCATGCACACTCTGGCCGGTGCCGCAGCCAAAGCCCACACTCGAGAGACCTGCGCTACTTTTATTAAATTCTCCTCCCCAGAAACCATGTATGTCAGCCTGCACCCTGGCCTTAAAAACATTGCTGCTCTGCTGGGTGTATGCACCTGACATGTTTGACTCAGTAACTTTGATGCTAGACCAGTATCACTTGTCGAGTGTGCTCCAAAAATCTAAGCATGGCTCAACTATTTGCTGTGGATCCAGAAGAGTTGCCATGGAAAGGAATGAGGAAGAAGTTTGAAAGATTTAAAAAGAAAAATGTTTGACCAAAGATTGTATGCACTTTAGTATGTATGTGACACCTGTTTTATGATCTTATCTTGCAGCCAATTTGTATTGATGTGTCCTTGTCTTGTGGGCTGTCTATCATGTTATTTTTGAACGTTTTAATGTAAAAATAAAGTGTCCGCTGCAACTGTTTGAGTTTCAGCTGTTTTGTTTTTGCACAAACTTATGCGATTTCTACATGAAAGCAGAGCCCCCTTCTGGCTGCATGGCGGTATCGTTCACACTGGGCATTCCTGCTCATGTGCAATCATGCCCACATGCTGACTGGCTTAACCCTCCTATTGTCTTCGTTCCACCCCTTTACTTTGGTGTTCGCGGTCAAACAACGACACACAACTAGAGTATGTGTGTGTGTTTTATCTGATCTGGATGGTTACTAATTCCTTTTCTTTATGGTGGTCATTTTTGACCGGGAACACCATGGGTGTTACAAAGTTGACTAAATCATCTAAAATTCAATGAAAGTGGTGGTCAGCAATTTTATATGTTCAAATGTCTTCTGTAAAGGATATCATAAAGCCTTAATGCAATCGAATCTAAAACAAAAAAGTTATGATTGAAAGTAGTAAATCGGTCAGATTTGACCCGAAGACAACAGGAGGGTTTAAGGACTCGATAGGTCAAGAATGTTATGCCTCTGGTAGAGTGATAATATTTAGAGTATGTAGTTTCAATAATTGTCAAGAAACCAATGCACATATTGCAAACCCACCATAATGTTAACTGATTTTCCTGACTGCTCTATTGTGCCCTGCTGCGCCCATCCCATAAAATGAGCTTAGTGCTGTAATGTGGGTGCAGGCTCATTCCAGCAAGCAGCAATAGACTTGTTGGCAGAGGCACGTGGTCAATGGTTAGCTGCCTTTTGGAATAAAGATCGAGACTGCAATTCAAAATGAAGTGACTTTAACTGAAACTATACCTGCCCATAATCTAATATATTTTTAGCTTTAGCCCAAATATTTAGGCCTATGCAGGACTGAACCTGACCTAAGCATAAATGCAAGTAAACCAACATTTGGGAATGCATCAAAGATGTGTTTTTTATGTTTTAATCTCAACATTTATTTATGCATGTATTTCGTATACATTTTTCAACCTCTATGTATTGTAGTGGTTCCTGTGTATGTATGTATTTCTTATAACATGTCATTTTATATATTCAGTCTGATTTATTTATATTCATTAGTTCCGATGTATTTATGTAATTTATTTAGTTTAAATTCCACCATAATTATAAGGTCTTTATGGGAATTTCTTTGTTTTATTGCACACTTGCTCGCTGCTGCATGTACCCTGAACTGTGATTGGCTTAAGCGGTTGTCTCATCGACCAATGGGCGTTAAGCTAGCAGGGTGATCATTTGTATTGTGTCTGGTAGGAGGTCCATCAGATTGTGGGTTTAAATGAGGCAACTTGAAACACAATCACCCCCCCCGTTTTTTATTGTGTCATCGGCGGGGAACTTTTTAACTGTCTTGTGGCCGCATACAAGATCGAATAACATTACATTTCGATATACCTATTTTCATTACTCCTTATTTACCATTTCGTGGCAAACGACATTGTCAAGCCAGCTAGAATTAGCCTGCCTGATTTCAAAACAAAAGCGGACACTTTTTGGATAAACGTTCAGGTATGTAGGCCTACAGACTGACACATTTTATGGTATGAATTATGCAGAACATTGACACTTATTATACGAATTTTCTTCCTAATGAGTGCAATTCATTCAGAAGAAAAGGGGATGCATTTTATTTTAAAAGCTAACTATTTAATGTGCCTTGTGTTCTGACTAACTTGACGGATATATATCCTTAGTCCCTATCACTGTTATCTCACAGCATGTTTGACAAAGAGCGGAAACTGAATCGTTTCTACTGTAACTCTTACATAACATTATTTGAAACATGACAGTGCAGGTTAGCGATGCTCGGTACCCAGTCAGCGGGGAAAGCAACCAAATGTGGAAATGATTTTTATATTTTACATTTGAAGGTAAGTTTCCCACTGCAGACAGAACATGTAAAGCATGCTTTGAAAGGACTTATCTCTCCCTGTCCGAGCTCCGACTCTTATAACTTTTTGTTTTGTTTTGTACTCGGCCCTTTAATGCCGCTTTATGCCGCAACCTCTTTATTTATTGTGTTTTTGCGTTCAGTGTGAGAGGTTGTGTATTTAAGAGAGAATTTGACACGAAGTTCGGTGTTACATAGTCTGTGGTGTTACATAATAGGGGGAATGTAGAAGAAGGAGGGGGGGGGGGCGCTGTTTCAGCTCAGTGTTGCCTTCACTGCCTCCGAAAATAGGAGAAGCACTGGTGACTGTACACAAATGACCAGGAGAAAAAGTATTATACCGCGGAAATGTCTAATGAAAATGCCTCATGCAGAGCTTTACATGTTGTTGCTGCAGTGTTGATTTGATAGCAAACCTACAATGTAGCATTTAGTGGCTGCATTGTTAATTATTGTATCCTTACAGACAAAGGAAAGCACATAAAAGTATCTGGTGTCATTCAGGGTCTACTATCCAAGACCTGTTTTCTATCTGATAATTTCCCTAACTGACTTGTGCTTCTGTAATTTTAATTTGTACCATCAAATACATGATGATATCCAACTTAAATAGAGGACACAGGAAGACACAAAAAGTGATTTATTTGGCTTGAACCATGTGTGGATGGGAGTATTAAGTCATGTTCTTTAAAACCCATAAACCCAAACTAATAGTGATCAACAAATCAGTTAAAACTGGTTATCTTTTAAATGTGTTGGTTTATTTTGAGGCCCCTCCTCAGATATTATTTTGTTTCTATTCTTAGGGCTTTTATTAAGGCCATAAGCAGAGATGCATTTAAATACACATATGGATTTCATTTTGGTTGCTGAGCCTTTGAGATTGACTGACGTCATACAAATGCGTGAAAGAAGAAGTGGTTGCATTAAAGTTCAACCCCAGCCTGAACAAGCTCATGCATTCATATGAAAGCATGAATGTACTGTGCTCTAGGTCTCTGCCTTGTATTTTTTCAATTCTCTGTTGACTCGAAAACAACACATGACCCTTGCATTCCATTTACTCCATGTAAATACACCTGGGGACACATGTACACACAAGCATGAAAACAGGGGGGGGTTCATTTGTGTTGTGGTTTTTCCTCAAATGTTTCATGAACTTCCCACAGTCTCCAGTTACTTGTCACTTTTAAATTATAAGCTATTACCTTGAGTACTACACATATTGTGTTTCTGTGATTAGTTGTCTCAGTTACACCACCCAAAGGCATCTATTATCCCCTCATGAATCCACACAGGCACCTTCAGATTCATGAGGGGATAAAAGTTGACAAGGTAAAAAACTGTTGTGCAATTGACTGCACAAACACCCAGCCAATTATTTTACAAATAAAGGGAAGTTGAGCAAGTGATAAGCTATTTATGAACAGCACACTCTTATTGTAAGAAACTGTGATGCAAATAAAGTGAAAAAAGACAGCAACAATGTCTCACTTTGTAAATAATTAATAGCCAATGGAAATGTTAATTGGATGCCCACTATGCAATGCAGTAGGTGACAAGCAGCCTGGGCACGTCACCAGTCCACCACAGAGCTCTGTCTCATGAGAGGAAAATATATTTCTTTGTTTCTATCTTTAGCTTTGAGCCACGTAATAAATATCCTGTATTCTCTCATTAGGCTCCAGTATGCCGAAGGAAGCGCCTTGCTTGAGCAAACACAATTCTTCTGCCTCATCCAGCAAGAATGCTAAAAATAAGAGCAACAGTTTGACTCAGATGGCAATGCGTGAAACTAAAGACGTAGACGACTCCAGTGGAACGGGCTCCCGCTGCAGCTCTGAGAAAGACTCCGGCTACTCCGGTGAGTAAATGTGGTGAACATTTGACCAGAGCAAAAGAATTTGCAGAGTATCATAGTCTATTTCTTATAACACTGCCATGCATGTTAACAAGTCAGATTAGGTAGTACTGAGAAGTTTAATGGTTCAAAAACATTAAAATACACAATGAATGTGTAGGAAATGTTCTTGGATTTAAAATGTAACCATGAAGGCAAATGTGCTGGTGAGGACATCCAAATCAGAGGAAGTGTGCAGGAATTTAAGTAATGTTTATTGTAATTATGTAAATTTGAGGAGACATAAAGGAATTGAAAGTTAAAATATACTTAAATTAAGTCATTGTGTTTATTAAATGGTGTCAAATACTTTGCTGCTATAGACTGGCTAGTCAGAGTTCAGGTGTCTCACTTTACTAAAGCTCTTACTTAATAATCCTTGTTGTTGTTGACTCCTGCCACACCTCACACACACCCCTCCTGTCATACAAAACAAACACGCCCACTCCTCCACAAGCCATTGAAAACGTCTCTTCAGTTGTGACAAGCCCCCCCGGTATCCACTTAAAAGGCGAGCTAACCAAAATGGTGTTTGAGGAAGTGGAGAATATTTAAGGATCACTATCGTTATGTATTGTCCTTTGATTAGAGTAAGGAGCGGAATAAAATGAATATAAACGAAGCATGTACGTCCCTATTCTCTCCCCTGTTTGTTAACTAAAAGCATATGTTGAATACATTTTCATAAAAAAATCCAACAACCAACNTTTTTTTTCTCATTTTGTCTCTCATAGTTGAAGTATACCTAGGATGAAAATTACAGGCCTCTCTCATCTTTTTAAGTGGGAGAACTTGCACAATTGGTGGCTGACTAAATACTTTTCCCCCCACTGTATCTCTTGTTCCATCTCTTCTACAGATGGCTCAGACTGGCAGCAGACAGATGTGGAGGACCAGCGTAGCGAGCAGGC